TAAAGTATCGTATAGAATCATTTTGTATACACAGAATTTTATTTCCGAATAATTAAATTAAGTCTGTTTATATTAGATCTACACAATTCTTAATAACACAACTTAAATTTTTAATTAATTATAATTAGAAGTGAAATTTTGGTGGTATTACAATTTTTTAAATTAAGTTAATAATAAATTGAAATAAATTAATAGTTATTCGCAAATTAGACGCAAGATTGTTGATATTTGAAAGTAGAATAACTTGAAACGGACGCGTATGTTATGAATATGTGAATTTCAGTTATCTTTAACAATACCCGACATCAATACGGGCTGTATCAATTGTATTATAGCATGTAATACATAATTTGCATTTGATCATGTTGATCACTTTTTTCTACTCCCTCTGTAATTTTAACTGGGTTCGAGTTAAATAAATAACGCTATCACGAAATTACTAGCTGCATAAACTCGTAATACGTTATAGGAATCACGTTGAAAGATGAGTAGATTCCTGCTGGATTTGCAAAATCTTGATTGGCAGAATCAAGAGATTGCCAATGACACCCCTCTGCGCGGTGATCATCCGAGATTACGCAGAACCGGGTTGCTGGATGGTACAAAATCGGTGAGTCCAATAGATCATCCTCGTAAATGCATCCTCCATGCTGTTGCGATGCGTTGGACTCCTTTGGGATTTCCAAGGGCATTGCGTTCATTCCGTGTCGAGGCACATGCCGCATAGAAACCCCAAAGCTGCCTCAACAAACTCGTTTCGAAAGCCTACGCCTCATTTCGTTAATAATTAACTCTTAAACCAAGTTTCAGACGTACTTAGTCTGCAGCAAATATTTTCTGTATCATATCGAAATAAAAAATATTGCTATATGTTACTAATATTAAATAATATTAAAATATCAATGTGTAATTAATAATAAAATTTAAAAAGCCAACATATAATTAATCGAGTCCTTGTGATTAATAGAATAATAAATAATAATTAAACTTCTTTTGTAAATATATAGCTAAAACATAGTTTTCATTTAATTACGATTTCGCTAATTTTAATAGCTAATTTAACAAACTTGTATCTTTGACATTTCGAAGAGATTAGTTATAATAGGTTCTGCAAAAAAAAGTAACAGATGCAAAAAGAACAGCTAAGAAACACGGAGATTGTCGGATAGTAATTGCTGCGAGAATTATTAATTATGATCAGATTTATTGTATAGGTCAGTATTTTATCTCTGACTTTCCCGTAATCGCTGCAAGTGATCGACGTATGACATATGCATTTAAAGATACGCATTAACAGATTGAAACCCAAATTAATTCGCATACACTATTCTGTTATATTCTACATTATCCATATCTTAAACTTTATTTCATTCTCTATATTGAGTACTTGACTTTTATAAACCTTTTCTAGAGATTTCAGAAATAGTCAGAGGGGATTTCGAAAAAAAATTCTTAATCATTTAAAAAACTCTTAATAAACATTCAAATAACGACATTTTCTGGGTGTATCTTTCATTTTGACAAATTAATTTGAAATAAAATGACAGCTGTCGTTTTCTCCCTATTATATATTAAGCCTATTCTTTTTGGCTGAACTTTTGCACTAGTTCATCTTTCTTCTTCTTCTTTCCTCCTGGAGAGTAAAAGGAAGAAAAATGAATTGACCTATTATTATTCGAGCATTGAAAAATGTATAGAAATATTATTGCAATTGTAAGCACCAATTATTAATTTTTTTTTAACTCGAAACAAATGAGAAATATTTACATAATTGCAATTACCGACAAAATAAATTTTTCTTCTTACATTTCTCATGCTCTACGTTATTATTGTCAGTTTAGATATAAACATATATTATCACATAATAAACGGTTTACCGTTGTATCTCAGAGATGGAGATGCTTTGCTTTAAGATTTAGGGAAATTATCGCTGGACAGTTTCTTTCGGAGAGACACCAGTTTCTTCGCGCTTACGTCAAAGACAACTTGGGACTTAGCAGGCCAGTAGGATTCAAACGCAGCCACCACAGGACCACTAAGGCCCAAATCATCCCCAACACTTTCCGCCCCTGCCATCCTCTGCGCAAATGTTTCAGTATCTGAAAAAAAAGATCCCAAAAGCAATTATTTACTCGCAAAACTTCTTCGAAGGTTGCGTTTTTTTGTACGCGCCATACAATTCAATAATTCAATTTCTTATACATTTTTCATGCAAGCTCAATTAAATGAAAGAAGAAATTAAATGACATTAAGACTATTTTTAAATGATTTACACGGAAAATGATATTAAATAGTATTAGGCGACAGTAATATAATTAAAAACAATCTTGTTAATTCAATGATAGTTTTAATAAAACAAATGCACTACGCTCTTGTTTTAATAAAATGTTACGTTTAATTAATATTTAATTGCCATTCAATTAACATTAGAAGCACCAAAATTTTTACTCGCTAAAAGAATCAAGCGAATAAATTATTATAAAAATAAAAAAAATAATAAAAAACTAAATAATTCATCAATATAAAGGGTTATAACTATTAATTATTGAGAAGTCAAAATATTTTAAAACCCTATGTTTTTTACACTAAAAATGTAATATTAATCTAAAAAATAGAAACGGTCAGTAATAACGACTGATCAGTATTTCTAGTGTTAATAAAATTTATTTTCAATAAGATTGCTATTAGCTAATGATGTTAATACATCATTTTTTCCACGTATTACAATTTTGCATGATGCAAAATATGAAAACCTTTCGGAAGTTCAAGATACATAATATACATACATAAAATGCAAATATTAGGCTACATTAAAATATATAAAATTATTTATACATTAATAATTATAAATAGAATTTTGTTCTGAAAAATCCTGCGTTCGCAGATCGTTTAACATGGGCGCAAAATACATTATACAACTTTTTAGGCGGTTGTAATTTATTGTATTGTACGATAAATTACGCGAGAGTGTTACGGGAAGAAGGTATCGAGCGTTTCTCCCTCAGCCAATATCCGTTTCTTTTTCTTCTTTAATTTCTGCGAGGTAAAATGTTTTCTGACATTGCCACATTCAAATACGTCGGAAGCGTTTAATGACCGTTCGTCGGCCGAGACTGTTCGTCTTATTCATTACGTTAAGTACTCAGAAGTGCACCTAGTCATCCACGGCGATTTTATGCACGCCATCAAGTAACGGGTGTGCCGGAAGCGTTATCGGGAGAACGAGATAAAAGGTGGCTGGGGATGCACGCGAGAGATACTCGCGATCCTTCGTTCGCATTGATACGGAACGATGCGTCCAGTTTTCTGGTTACTGATGTCATTACACTTCGTGGACGAACGATAAATAAATAATAGGTGTAAAAAGACCGCTTAAGAGAATGGGAAGTTTTAAACGGTACGATGTGACGTATAGGAGTTGATTGGTTTAACCGGTTTGCGAAATAGTTTTTATACAATGACGAAGCTTATCTTTTTTTGCAAACTTTTAACTTTAAATCTTCAAATACATTTTTCTTTTTGTAGAGTAAGATTTTAAAGATATCTCACATTGTGTGTGAAAAACAAAATTATAAATTTTCTCTCTCTCTCTCTCTCTTTCTCCCTTCACGGCAAGGATAATTTTGCAGAAGTCTAAAAATTTAGACAGATACAGGATCTGAAAATAACTTTGTTGGACTATCAAAATAATTATGTAGGAAATTCAAGCATGATGAGCAATGCTGCGAAAAGTTTTAACATTCTAGCAACCAGTTTGAGCATCCTACATAATTTATTTTGATAGCCTAACAAAATTATTTTTAGATCTGGTTAAATATTCAAATACTTCAGCGCTGTTTTTCCGTGTCGTTATTACGGATTACGTTTTAAAATTTGCAAAAATCCGATAAATACCCGGCGATAAGAGTTGAGTTAAAGAAATTAATTAACATAGTTAATTCTCTTTTTTTAATTCTATCTCATTAATTACGTATTCAATTCTTTCTCACGCGGTAAAAAAGCATTCTGGATGATTTTTGGCTGTTCTACATCAAGAAAATGGCTTCTGATTCGTCACTAGCCTGAGATATTATAACAAAATGTAAATTCATGAAGCCGTTGGTTAAAATAATTAAAGAAGGTTTAACATTTTATGCCATTTTATATCTCCTCCTCTTGCGTCGCGTAAGCTTGTATATTTAAAAAAAAGCATATAACCGAAAAAATACAATATTTAAGACATCATCGCTTCGATTAAATAGGTAACAATCAATGCTCAATTATCTCGAAACATCGCGACGTTTTAATAATTAAAACTACAGTAGGCTTAATTTTTTCCGCCATTTTGCGACCTATACAACTCATTTTTAATCGAGCGAGCTTCTTGGAAAATGTTCAAGAGGCAGATGGAAGAATCATGTTCCCTTTCTCCGGCCGATTCCCGAAATCGCTTGTGCTACATCAAATTCTAGAATCAATCTAGAATTCTACATTGATAAGCAAATGGAAAGGGAGGAAACAGGGGGATGAGAGCAAATCGATGTGGAGGACGCCGGGTGATATGGAGCAGCGTGTCGGTCCGACGAATAATGTCGGCACGGATGATTCACGTGGGCCAGGTCCAGACTCTTGCGGAAAGGGTTGGGTTCAAGGTTGATATCTGTTGACAACGATCGTGTCACTAGAAATCGGAATTTATGCAGAATAATTGTTATCGGAAGGGAAGAAGGATAATTGCCGATTATTAGCGATGAACGGCAATCGTCGTTGCACCCCATTTCCGTTTTTTTATCCGTTCGCAGGCTGCTTCGTCCCTCGAAGCTCCGACTTTTCGGTGATGCGAAGCGTTTCGAATCAGCGTCCGCGTTACCGATCTGAATTGGCACTCGAATAAAAAAAAAAAATGGAAAAAAATGAGAGAGCATCGCACAGATCGGCGCGAGCGTCCGCGTCAAGCGTTCCAACCCGCGTTCGATGTCGCGTCTACTCACTCGCTCTCCTCTCCTCTCCTCTCCTCTTGGCTGCGCCGCGGCGGCGGTGGCACGTCCACGTGCGATGCATCGACGTGCTGCGGCGTCTTGTACGCAGGTGCGAAACGCGCATCGCCGAGCCCTCATTTCGTCGCGCTCGACGCTCGACGACGCTCGACGTCGTGCAGAGGCGTCGCCGGTAAGGGAAGGCGCGACGGAGGTAAGGAGGAAAATCCCACGGAGACGGAAGAACGGACGCGGTGGTTAACGACGAGGGCGGTTTCCTTCGCACACA